TTTCACAAGTGGAGGAGATCATCTTCTTGTTTGGGCTTCAATATCCATCTCTCCATCTTGTTATTCAGAGAAGAATCTCTAAACTCATTTCTAGCTATTTATTATTTTGTTTATAATTTCTATAAGCTAGTTTTATATTGAGTTTAGATTTGATTTTATCTCATTGTTACACACACCCACTTGAGCTTATTGTATTTGCATACATAGTATATTAGGGTTGTGAGAGATTGTAACATTGAGTTGTGCTTAATTGAGTTCTCATCTATTGTAGAGAACAAATTCATATTTGTTACATTGTGAGTGGTGTAAGGTTTTCGGTGAGCTAGAAAACCGAGTGTGTTGTGGAGTTTTCGGTGAACTATAAAACCGAGTGTGAGGAGTGAACGTTGATCGGTGATCGTTGAAAACCGACATAGTATGGTTGTAAACGTTATTCGGGTGAACGTAGAAAACCCGGTTGTGATAGTGGATTTCTCCCCGGGAGTGGGGAGCGGAGACGTAGGATGGAAGGTCCGAACTCCGTGATCATATTGCTTGTTTGAGTTTGGCTTAGCACACATATTTTTTTCATCTTTATAGCCTTTCTCTCATTGTTTATTTCATCCACTATATCATTTGTTTATGTTACCCTTGTGTTTGCATATCCTTGCATATATCATATAGTATACCTCTTTGCTAGGATATATCACCTTGTGTATATTGCATATTCTTACATTAAACTCTTTGTATATCTATCCTGTAAGAATATATTTGTTAATTAGTTTTTATTGGTATATAATCGGATTAGATTAGCACAATATCCTAATCACCCTCCCTCTAGGGTCTAACATGTTTGGCTATTCACAGAGAAGAAGAAAAGTCTTTTTGTATTTGTTCTTTGATTTGTGCATCCCTTTGAGAGAGTATTTGTATGAGAGATCTGAGAGTTTGTGAGAGGGTTCAGATTGAGTGATTGGAAACCCTAGTTGTATCTCTCCCTCTAATAGTAGATCTCCCCCTCCTTGCCCCGTGGACGTAGGCTATTTGCCGAACCACGTAAAAATTTATGTTCTTGCCGTAATTTGTAATAGCTTGTAGGATCCCTCGACAGGTCAGTCTTAGAACTGATGAGAGGAAGAGCCGATATCTCACTTTGTTGAGATATCCGCTTTAGATTCTTGTTTCCTTGGTGAGACAGGAATTCTTACGATCTAATCTCTTATTGTGCACCTTGCGCACCGGAGGTGCTGCCGAAATTTCCGCTACGCACAACAAGTGTATCATTAGTGCTGTAGCACAAGCTGGATATTATAGCATTTTAAAAATGTTACTGTAGCACTTATAAAAACATTTAAAAACAGAATTGATGTAGAGGAAATAAAAAAATGAGGCCGTGCTTTGCACGGGGTGCACACTAGTTATATATAAAGATCAACAATTAGGAAGTAGAAACGAAACAGAATACCCGAGACCTTAAAACATTATAATTAACATGCATTCTCTGTTATATTTCTGATGAAAGATTTCTCATGAAAGCAATCTACAAATTTTCATGAAAACTAATGGCAAATTTCCATGTGATCTTACATATATATTAACTAACTATAGATCCTTAGATACTGGCAACTTTTAGGTATATTTAAACAATAAGCTTCCTATATCATTGTCATGTACATACATACAGCTAATTTGGCAAGTTAAGGCTAGAACGGGAGACTCTTGGAATTGGAAGCAATTGTTAAAGGTCAGGGATAAAATGATTGGTTTCTGTAGGGGAATTGACAACCTGAAAATGTTTATAAGTTCTTGTTACAAAAATGCTAATCTCAAGCTATCAACACTGTATAATGCTCTCTTTCCTGCTACAACCAAAATGCCATGGTACAACATTGTTTGGGAGGAATCGAATGCCCCTAAACACTCTTTTGTGAGCTGGTTGGTGTTTCAGAACAGATTACTCACACAAGAGTACATGCTACTGAAGAGAGGAATAATCAACACAAATGCTTGCTACCTCTGTTCTGGTGCAAGCTTAGAAACTATAGATCACTTATTTTTCGAATGCTCATATTCTAGCAATGTTTGGAATTGCATCATGGAGTGGTTGAAGTTCAATTGGAAATCATGTCAATGGAACCATATATTGGATTGGTATTCCAACAGGTTAAGAGGAAAGAGATTCCAAAAAAAAATTATGAGGATGGCTTTAACAACTACAATTTATTGCATATGGAGAGAGCATAATGCCAGATTCTTTCAGCAGAAATGTAAATCCACAGATTAATTGACGAGAGAAATTCAGTTTGATATTATGACTTTAGTGCTCAATAGTTCATTATCTGTATTTTGGGATCAGGCAGACTTTTGAGGTGCTGTGGTTTTTTGTTCAGTAATTTGTTTGCTTTCTCAGTTGATTGTACTGAGCATTTAGGTGTACATAAACTCTTTCTTTTTTGGTTATGAAATAAAAAATTTTCACTGACCAAAAAAAAACATACGATTTATTGATTGTAGCAAATAAGTCATCAAGCACATTCATACGAACCCACATCCAAACCCTAAGTCAGATAAACATCATGAAATTACATGAAAGCAACATTCTCGTAGATCATGCTCATGGGCTTGTATTGAAGCTGTAGTTAAAAGCCAATCAAACACCTAAATGCATTGAACGTATGTTTATATGCACGTACGCAGCACATATGTGATATGGCCATATGACATCAAAGTACAGTTCAGAAACAATTAAATTAAACTCTTACATCTTAAGACCAAACCACGTGGGTATGCAACTTTACTAGTAAAATATACCATACAATTTTCTGAGCAGACTAAAGGTTATCTTGTGGCGAACATCTAGAATCTGATGTTTACATATATACCAAATTTTTTCTATTTTCTTCATATAGTACTCAAGCATTAATCTATAATGAGACAATTGCTCGATATATCTTAACTTTTATTCTCAAAGTATATAGAGCATACATATATTGCTTTCATGACTATTGAAGGAGTGTCTCATGTTGTGTTAGACAGGAGTATTGAGCATGTGTAAGATGAATATGGTTTCCTTAATAGTTGTTGCTAGTTATCTTAATTTAAGCCCTAAATCATAGGATAACATCCCAACATAATGAAATTGCTGCTAATAGAAAATGCTAGTGTGGAGGATTTTCAACTCAAATGAGTTAAAGAGTAATCAAAGAAAGAAGAACTGTGAAGACAAAGGTAAAAAGACTAATGAAAGAAAAACTTAAACGAGGTAAAGATCCGTTCGACATAAAATCGAGAGAATTAACTTAAATATGAAGAGAAAACAGTAATAGAAAAAAATCACAGCAAGAAAATAAACAAAGTCTCACAGAAAATAAATAAAATAAAGAGGAAACACCAAAACACCCAAGAAGGTCTAGGAAAGTTGGTAAGATGCCTATGAATAGTGCACCAGGTCTAAGGTTTGACTCCTGTGGGAGCACCCACAAAAAATTAAGGAACACCAAAACAATACAAGAGAAATATTAATCAGCAAGAGAAATTACTAGTAATAGAAAATGCAAGTGTGGAGAATTTTTTTGGTTTTTTGGCTTTTTAGCTCAAGACATCTTACAATGAATGGGCTTTTCTCTCCACCTCGGAGACGTCGCCCCATTCATTTGAAGATATCTTCTTTTGTAATCTTATCTCTTGGTTTATATATACATACTGATAGGGACATACCCTATTTTCTTTCAAAAAAAAAAGTGTGGAGAATTTTCAACTCAGATGACTTCAAGAGTAATTAAAGAAAGAATTGTAAAGACAAAGGTAAAAATACTTGTGAAATAAAAGCTTAAACTAGAAAGAATTGTACAACATAAAATCCAAAGAATAAACTTAAATATGTATGCAAAGGAAAAAATCATGTGGCAAAAGAAAACAAACAAAGCCTCGTAGCAAATAAAGAGGAAACAACATAACAATCAAGAGGGTCTAGCCGAGTTGTATGCTATCTCTGAGTAGTATGCTAGCTAGGTTTCAAGTTCGACTCACTTGGAGAGCACCCATAGGAAATTAATTTCTTAGAATACCTAAGGCCGTGCGTTCGGTGGCGCTCGTTGGCCATGCTTGAGGGTTTGATACCCATGGCCCGAGGGATCGTGGGAAGTTCCCTCAAAAAAAAAAAAAAAAAAAAAAAAAAATCAAACATGTCAAAAAAAAAAAAAAAAAAAAAAGAATCATCAAACATGGATTCAAAGATAACACCAAAAAGTAAAGCTGGTAAGTCACAAAATTTCTCCATAGCCCTTCAAGAATGATTGTGTAAGAAATCAAACCGTTCAGCAGCTAACACAGCCTAACTAATTCATAATAAATTAGTTATCAATGTTTGACCATGCATTGGAAGATTCTACAAACCCTAACTTAGCTAACTCTGCAACCTTGTGTGATAAACAAATAAATTCAAAGATCACATGAAATAAAACAATCAGGAGCAACTCAAATCATGGATGTGCATGATCTGCTATTGAAAGCCACTACTTAGGTAAATGCTAACTATACATATACAGCACTAGATCAAAACATCAGTCACTATGTGCAATTGTGTGCTTGTGCATATATGCATAAAAGAGGAGAAAAGGAAGTTGCAAACAACTGAAGCAAGTACATGCGATCTCAATCAAATAAATAGAATGACTAGCTAGATCAGTATGGAGAAGATACTTTCGCTAATGACCAAACTATCGATAAACATCAGGGTCCATTCTCACAACGTACGTAATCCAACCCTGAATTGAAAGTAAAAAAAAGGTAATTCCAATCCTTGGAGTTGCACTAACAATTTCCTCCAAAGATAAGATATCAGTTATTTATGCATTCCATAGTAGTAGAAGAAACAAGGAGGATCTCATTCAATTTCTTAGTAGTTATAAACCACATATATTTAGAAACTTCGCAAAGAAGTGTCCTATGTTATCATCTTTGAGGCATCCTACGTCTCATTTTGGGAAAAAAAAATCCTTTAACAAAAACATTTCTCATAATATGATCATATTTTCATAGACATGGAAACGATATGTATACCATTGATACATCAATATATATAGTACCAGTTGAATTAGAGCACAACATGCATATAGCAGAACCTGTTTGAAATATTACCAACTTATTCTCCAACATATAGCAAGCCATTCGACAATCACATGTCTTGCAACTAGTCAAAGTGACAACTTCAGTTCTAAATCTAACTCTTGTGTGTCACTTGTATCTGAATTCTGGCTCATTGAACTCATTGAGTGACATCGATCATGTCGTCTCTTCTTCTGCACCACATCCTACAATGCCAATTTCCCATAGAAAAAATTCCAAGTTAGACATTCAAGAAAGATGAAAAACTACTCAGAAACTAAAGCATATGCATTAATATGTAGCTATCTTCTAAAGATAAATTACCTCGTTATTCTGCTCTAATAGAGGCAGCGTCATAGTTTGTTGTCCCCAGTGATGAGCCATGTGACTTGAGAATTGTCTGGTGTTAATCACATGAACATAGAAGGGATTAAGTAAGAAATATAATTAAAAGCAAGTATTCCCATTACTCTAAAATATAAGTACATGAACAGATAGGGGGGAAAAGGCAAAGGAAATAGTCACGCATAGTAGGCTAGCTTGATTTTCTAAGACATATACCTGGCAGTAGAACCAGACTGAAATCCACTGTTTCCGATATCTCTTCTTTGATCAACGTCTCCAAAACCCATCTGAAAAACATAATTGAATGCGTCGAGGGTTATTAAAGAAGTCAAAGTTACAAACTCAATACTACCTTCTTGAGTTAATAGCAGGTGTAATATGGTGCAATTTACACCCGATTTAGAGCTTGATTTATCTGTCTACCAGGAAGTATTGTTAATTTCAAACTAGGGTTTTGACATGTTTCGTGATTCATAACAGCAGATATGGAAAGAATCACCAAACTTCGACTGAAAACTGAAGCTAATAACGAGTATCAATTCATTCATCACTTGTCTATTTTCATTATTAGCTTAGATTGATTTTGTTCCCCATCAAAGTTCTAGGTAAGTTTTTGAAAGTTTTTTTTTATTTCGATTTTAATCACAAAAGCTCTCATATGTTCCAAC